GGTAGGGGGGTGGGCGGGCAGACCACTAACTACTGTACATCTAAGGTGGAGGTCACAGTGGTACATTCAGGGGTTTTTTAGGTGAAGACGTGCACGTAAAAACAAATTCCACGTTACTTTGTAAAAAGCAAAATGTAATTGCTGGAATAGCTGTTTTCCAAAGGCCCTACAGTTTTAAAGCTCCAAGCAGCTTGAGCCCTTTCCTCATAGCTGGCTCTGGTTTGAGGCAGCATTTGCACTACAGACATATTAATGACCCTTCTAACCTGAATTAACCTGTGATACATGTCCTTATAAGTAGCATGAAATAAATTAATACACCTCATGGTTTACACATACTACAGTCGCATTCTTCTTGCAACAGAAGATGTGTTAGTCTGAACTTGAGGTTTTGGTGGTTTTTTTTTTAAAAAAAGGGGGTGAGAAGAGTTTTTGATTGAGAAATTTAGTTACTATATTCATTAGAGGCAGCATTCTTGGCTGAGGACACAAGCCGTTCATACTTACATGTTGACTAAATAAGATAAATGCTCATTTTAGTTGAACTGTTCAGCTAGTATCAGAGACAGTTTTCCACTAATAACTGTAATGAGGCTTTCTCTTTTTTTTTTCCCCTTCCTTTTTTCTTCTTCTTCCTCCCACCTGCCTATTAGCTGACTGTGTGCACAACGCTGATGGAGGTGTATAACGGTCATACAGAGACTTACCTGCGGGAATGCCCAGATCCCTGTAGTCCTTGGTAGTCCTGAACCTTTCCTACATTGGAAGCTGCTCGTCTGAATTGGAGGTCCTCCAAGAAAAAATACTTCTGGAAAAAGATTCCTGAGCCTAACTCTTTTCTTCAGAAATCTAATGGCTATATAGAAATTTCAATGAGCTTTTAACAATGGAGGACCCTATCTAACATTGGACTTTCTTGCTTTCTGATCAGCAGTTCTGCTGATGAGAAATGTATACTAATGTATGTCTGGTTTGATTTCAGCCATTTCTACCAAATGAGTTCAGCAGTTAGCTCTAGATCTCCTCAGTCTTGACAGTATTCTTGGTTTGGTTTCTTGTTGGTTTGTGGGTTTGTTATTTTTTGTTGTTTGGTTGGGGGTTTTTTAGATTAAAATACTTCTAAAGCACACATGAGTTAAAATGGCACCTACCAAGCATGAAAAAGAATTGGGTATTAGAAGGCCGTCTGGGACAGTACAGTTCTTAAGTGCTTAGGAAAGAATAACAGATGAATTGCTAGTGTTCTGGTCCAATATGAGGATATGTCTAAGATGCCCTATTACAAAATAACCTACCAAGTGTCATATCTAGTCACAGAAACAAGGTCTTAAGGTAATAATCAGAAACAAGATCTGAGCCAGAAAATGTCTTTCCACTGATTTATAGATCTTTTGCTGAAGCTCTTTCTTGGCCTGTTAACAAATTTTTTTTAATACCGATTTTTCTGTTGTCTCAAAAAAATAAATACTAATACAATAAATATTCTTAAGAACTACTTTCTTTGACCACAGTACACATGCACTGATTCCATACCTCAGTGGAAGTCACCGTGCATGTTACATATCACATGGCAGAAAGGGCATTCACTTCCAAATAGACTGATTCTAACAGTGTCTGAAAAACTGATTTCTTTCTTAAACGGACAGTTAAAGCTATTACTGTAATGGGAAGTAGCCAACTACTAATAGTGGTTGGGTTGTTTGAGGGGATTTTGGTTGGTTGGTTTTTGGAAAGTCGGGGAGGGAAGCCAAGTCAGACTACACCACTGGCCGGAATTCAAATTAAGAGAGTAAAGGTCCTTTAGAAATAGAGAGACGTACAGGAAGCAGATGATGTAGAAGGCAGTAGTTTTAGCTGCGTCACTGGCTGCGTTGCTGGGACTAGTTTCCAGTGGCAACTCTTGTGTTTTGTAACATGCAAAGAGAAGACGCTGGAGACTAAGCTTAGGGGCTGGTATGGTGGTTCACTTGTATCTTTTCTTAACCACCCTAGGAAAGAGGTGCTATTCATATTCCCATTGAGCCGTGGATTTAAAGCTGCCACTGGTGTGAGGGAAGTGTTTGCTGTCTTTTCGGTGTCTGCAGAGACAGCATTGCGTGAGGCATTCTAACTAAAACCTGCAAGTTCGGGACATCCACTCACAGTGGGTTTCTTGATAACTGGGACATGCAGAACAGTATTAGTGTAGTGCAGAAGTTCAGAACAGAGGATATGACAGTTTTCTGTTCCAAACAGTAAAGGCTACGCTAAGATTTCTTTTTTAATAATTGCAAATTTAACGCTAAGATGTCTACAGAAGGGGAAACAAGTTACTGCCCATAAATGTGAGATGCAAAGTCAACTTTCGTCCAAGTATGACTGGCTAAGTTTTATTTAGTATTGCTTCCTTTTCTAAAAGAAATATTAAAAGATAACCTTTAATCATCCCTTGTTTCAGTAACTAGGTTACCAGCTTACAGCAAACTAACAGCTCTCCCTCCATCAACACTAGGAGAAGCAGGGACAAAAGGAATGCTATTTGCCAAATAACTTTAGCAGCTGATAAAGAAACATGGCTTCTGGTTGAAGACAATTATATTCCAGGCCTTAGAACACTGCCTGTAGTAGCGCAGCAAGAAGCAGTTGAAAGGGGTGTAAAGCACTGACACATTGAGAGCACATGGAAATCAGCATCCCACTCTTTAAATTGACGTTAAAAACAGGGCTAGTCTAGTTGTACGTCTGATTTTTTTTAACTGAAGTATGCAAGCAGAAACACGCTAGCATGATTGTACTACCAGAGTCCATTTTTAATCCCAATCATGAATATTGAACCTATGTAAACCAAAATCAACATAGCAGCATGCTTTAGATTAGGGAAAAATGCATGTATAGTATGAAATGCAGCTTCTGGGACATTTGATTCATATAAAACAGTTAAACCAAGTCAAATGTTACAGCCTGTACCGTGAAGGGCACATCATACACTGCTGAGTTTGCACCTTAATCTGGTCAGGGGTTGTTCAGATTTATTTGGAATTAGTTGCATAATAACCATAATCAAATTACTTCGTCATTTAAAAATAAGCAGTAAGTTTACTTGCTTAATGAGTCCTGTCCCACTTTAGCATATGTGGAGCAAGGCAGTGCGGACTATTTAGAGTCATTAACTAATGAGATTTCAGTACTTCCCTTGTGCAAGACAGTCCACATTTCCACACTGGAAATTGCTTTACAATTGCAAAAGCACAGCTAAATCCCATGGATGTCTGTCCAGACCCTGAGTGCCTATGCCTGCTATTGACTAAAATAAAGCTATCTAAAAATTAAAACCCCCAACAACTGTCTTACTGTGTCTGCCTTAATATAGAAAAAGTGATGAATGTGATTAATTGCCTATTGATTTAACCTTCATCTGTCAACTCTGAAAGCACTTGTGCTGAAGGTTTTCTCAAGCCCGACAAAAAGTTTAATTTGCTCTTGTTACGGATAGACACAGCTATTTTTAACATCAGTTTACTGCCTCCCCCCTGCTGCTGCCGCCCTAGGCATTGTCATGGAAGCTGAGACCGTTTCACTGAAGAAAAGCATACAACCACTTGCAACTTTGGGATTTAATTTAGCTGCTTTTTTTTTATTTTTTAAAACGGACACAGCGAAAATGGGTATGTTTCTTCATTTGCTGTACACATAGTTGAGGTGCCTCACAAACACTGAGAGGGTGGTCTGGTTTGGTTTTTTTAGGTTTGTTTTTTCCCCAGGTCAAGTAAGCAGCCATATGTATTTTCTCTTTTAAGTTTAAGTAAGAGATTTACACAGCTTTCCTAGTTCTGTTGTGAAAAATCATCAAATGGGTGCAAAAAAAAAAAGCAACAAGACAAACATACTTGTTTATTATTACTGCATAGTCTGGTTCTATGAAGAACAGCCTCAGTATTTTAGCTTCCAGCAGATTTTTACTGTTAATGTAAATACAAAGAGTTAATCCAATTTATTCTGAACTTGATTAAATAAGGCATTACAGGAAAGACAAAGCATTTGTTTGGGCGCTGGCATTTAAATGCAAAAAATGTCAGTTTGCCAAGAAAATTTTACACCTCTACAACTTAAGAAACCCACGCGGTGAAGCCCCATACCATTTCAGAGGAAGGAAGAATGGCATGTCCCATGTCAGGAAGCAAAGTGTTGGCAGCTGGTGAGGAGAGGAGAATCCAGCAAAGGAATTTGATTCTACCAAAATCAAGCAGTAGTTTTGGGACACACATGCAAGTGAGTTTGCATTAGAGCCAGTTACGAGTTAAGGCTTTGCTTAGAAGGAAAACTCCAGAGCAGCGCCCGCAGATGTCCTGGAAAGTATCTGCAAGGAAAGCAGCAAGAGTAAATAGAAGACTTGAGCTGGTGCGAGCAGGCACGATGGACTGTGGACTGACAGGGAGCAGCTGAGAGCTTTAGGCAGGCACCACAACTAACAAGAAAATACTCCTCCCTCCCAGCACAAACACCTGTGCCACCTTCACACAGCCAGCTCTTCGGGCTACAGGCGGAAGGAGAAAGAAAGAAACGCGAACAAAAAGTGCAAAAGCTTGGATTTCACCTTAGTGGCAACAGGCGGCAAATGACCTGCTTGTGCCACGGATCATGGACTCTCTTCTGCTTTTGGAGGAGCAGACGTGTTGGTAAGAAAGGCACACCCAAGCTCTCCGAGCAGCAAAACCTCTCATCCTTTGCACCAAAAGAACAAGATGAGCCAGAAAGAATAATGCTTAATCAAAGCGGTGCCAGAAACCACAATTTGCCCGGGGAAGAAATCTCCAGGTATTTATGCATTTTATAAGAAGCTGCTTTTGACTGTTAAGAGTCTGGAAACACAACATACCAATTGGCCCAATACTGTGATCGAGAAGAAAGCAGACCATGCAGTTGTTCCCTACCAGTTTTTCAGAGCATCATAACTTGTGGTACCAAAGATTTTAAAGGTCTTCTGTAGCTCAGCCTGCTCCCACACTCTGTTACTTAGAAGAGAGGACAATAATTATGAAGGAGTTAGTCTGTTTACATACTGAGAAGCACTGTACTCGGGAAACTTTCTGACCTACAGTGAATCAGCTCTGAATTATATTAATTGTATATGGGACAACCTCTCTCAGTCTAATTTGTTTTGCAAAGTTTGTTTTCCTAGCTCAAGGGTTATGCACGAGCAATAGAAGAATCCCAGCAGCGAGGCTGCCTCTGTTGGGTATTCTGTATTTAAGGTGACTCCAGTTATAAGGCTTGCTTGAGGTTTTCCACTATTAGTCTTGTCTTTCTTTTAATCTTGCTAAGCTTTCTCTATTAGGCAGATACCCAATGTAGAAAAAAATTCATCCCTAGACTTTTCCCTCTTTATATTTCAATGAAAATGATTCATCTCTTTAAGAAAGATAGACAAAAAAAATTTTTTTGTCTACAGTAAAAAAAAAAAAATCACGAGCATTGAGTTGTAGCAAAGTGCTGAAGTGCTATCTTGTTGTTAAAGTAGAGCTTTAATTCAGGTACCTGGAGGTGTTTGGATTAGACATAACCTTTTCTCAGGCTACACCCACCATCTGAATTACACCAGTATTTAAACCTTTGAGTAGTTACGTATAATTTGCATCAACTTGGTTCCCAAAATGCTACATCTGCATTCCTGCAAGAGGTGTACATGCACCATGCCCTGAGAGCTGGAAACAGTTCTGTTAAGATAGCCACATCCAGCTGCAGAAGGTGTGCCTTCTGCATGAACCGGGTGGGAGAAAGAAGTGACTGAGATGGAGAGGGGGAAACAGGGAGGGGGGAAAAAAAAAAAAAGAGGAGCAGGAGCCAGAGTGTCAGAGGAAAGAGAAGTAAAACGGAATAGGAAGGCAGCCAGGAGTGGCAGGCTATGAAGATCTAGCAACTGCAGTATACTCCTCTACTGACCCCATTACTCCCTAAATTAAGCATTCCTTTGCTGTCATCTGAAACCCTCCAAGCAAAATCTGCCTCCCCAACCACAGCAGCCTACATGGTTAGTAACTGCTGTTACCATGTTTTTTCAGTTCATGCTGAGAGACAGTAGATCTAAACTGATCCTCTAAGAAAAAAACATTGAAATTAAAAATACATATCATCCCAAGCAACCGTTCTTTAGATTTAAAAGCAAGATAAATTACCTTAAAAGTATACTAAGGCTGCAAAGCATCCAGAAGCCAACAAGCGTAGCAGCCACTCATTCCCCTTCCTTTTTGGATGGGAGACAGTCTCTCTGTATGATTCCAAAACTCCTTTTACAGAGACCCCTTGTTTCACTCACTGCACTGGACAGGCTGCGTTCTTGTGATGAATGAGGATGGCATAATAAAGGAGAAAGGCTTCTGCTTTGGTCCAGCTTTCAAGACAGTAAATAAGATAATACCTTGCAGGAAAAAGGATGGTGTTACTGACCAGGCAGGTCTAAGTACCTGCTGGGACAACTGAATTCTCTCCCCATTTCTGCCAGGTGCGGCACAGGCAACCCAGCAGGTTGTGTTGCTCGGCGAGTACCCTATCTGTGATACCAACGGTCATGGTTTGGAAGTACTAATCACAACTGCAACCAAGACGGAGGGAGCTATGCTGCGATCACATAAAGTACTATAAAATGTATCCTATTTTTTTTACATCTCAGCTCAGGTTCCTAAAATTATCTGGCAATCTCGGTTTCAAATTCTGTACCTCAGAGCTCCATATGTAACACAGGCACGATATCCTCTATATTTCTAGATATCGGGACGATTACAACATGAACTAATCCGAAAAGAGGTCTAAAGCCCTCAAACCAAGTTGATTTAGTTCGATACCACCATGCCTTCAAGGATCATGGAATTAAGTAATACAGGGAGAGCACCATAGGAAAACTGATAAGAAAACGAATCATCTCAATGCAAGGTTTGGATTGTTCACAAAATCAGCAGGGCTCAGGGCCACGCACTGAGTGCTGAGCATTAACACCTCGCGTGTTGGCTGAGGCAGAGACTTTGTGAAAGGGCCAGCATGGGGAAAAAGAGGAGAGATGCGATTGTGCGATTAGGAGCCCTGCGTGTACAGGGAGCAGGTTACATATGCGCACTTCCTATGATCCTTGTGTTTTCTTATTTTGCAGTGCTTGAATGTACAAGCTAGACAGCTAAAGGTTTTATTTTTTAAACTGAGGGCTTGGTATCAGTTGGTGTGGAGAATGTAAGATACAGCAGAACGTAGCTGCCATGTGCCTGTCCGGGGAAAGGCAGAGCAGCAGCTGTTGGGCCTGGAGAGGACAATAAGGCAACTTAGAACAGCTCCCATTTGCCCAAGGTGGACATCACAACCTCCCACCCGGCCATCTACACCAACCGCTGCTCTGCCAACAGGTAAAACATACTGCATTTGCTCTGTGAGGATCTTGATTACACCTTTGCCCCCCATAGCGGCAACCCACTAGTTTTCTCCTTCAACCTCTGATCAGACTCCGTATTTATTTCTCCCACCTGAGACTGCTCAGTTGATTATCTGCCTCCTTTTCATCAAGTAGCCTGTGAGTGCAGCGCATGCCCATACCGTTCGAGATAATGGGTTTGAAACGAAGCCAGGTGACTTTGCCTATCCCGATCTCAAGCTCACGCTTTCAATAACGTCTCTGTTACACAACATCGCAACAACTTACCGGCACGAATCCTGCTTCCCACGGCCCTTGGAGCCAGGGCTACCTGCAGTCAGAAATACCTGCTCAAACCACACTTTCTTTTTCTTTTTGGCTTTTGATTTTCGCTCCTGCTCTGAGCGTGCAGTACAAAGGCAGCACAGCATGAGCCCATACAGAATTGCCTCCCAGCCGCCAGACACCTGGCTGAGCAGTACCTTTGCCACATGGAGATTTACCTCTGCTACGTGGAGGTTAACTGTCTTTACCAAACAACCCTGGTGCTGCCAGCTGCAGCTTGCACGGGTGCCTGTGATTTCCTGTTTCTGAAAGCAGTGATACCAGCCAGACCATTGCTCTCCTTAATTTAGAAAGCTGCTTCGTGTTTTCTTGTGATCTGGTTCCACACCACCACACGCAGGCTGAGGACTGTCACATGAATAAGAGCGCTGAGGTTACACGGCACTTTCCCTGTTCAAAACAGTCGGTGAGGAAACCCACGGGTATTATTCATTGTAAACGTTTCCCACAGACTAAACCCAACAGGTACCAGCAAGTAGTCTTGCTCTTTTGCATTTTCTAGTGTAACGCAACAACAAAGGAGCATACTCAAGAACCTCTATATGGAATGAGGTATATCTGCTTAATTTTACCTGTGTGAACATTTTAAATTTGCAGTTGAAGGTTTATGTCAGTTATACTTCACGGTTGTGGGTATCCGCTGAATAGTTTATTTAATGGAACAAAAAAGAGCAGTAGCAGGGTTTTTCCCAGCATAAGGCATGAAACCGATCCCTGCTACTATAAATCACAAGCAAGAGCAGATGTAATCTCAGGGATTTTTTTTATAGTCACCTGTTCCTGCAGTTTCTGAACTGCAGTCTCAAACCCTTGAAGTATTTTGACATCTAAATTCTTGCTACAGCTACCAAAGTATGAGGTTTCTTTTCTGGTACTGAATATTTCTCAGAGGCACTACCTTCTGTAGTGATGTTTACAGATGCCAATCCCACAACTTCTCCTATGCAGACAAGCTCCCGCACCTTTGGGGCTCTCCGTGGGCCCGTGTGCCAGGTAAGTTGGAAAGTCAGAGTTCCAGCAGCAAACGGCAGTAAGGAAAGCACAATACATGCTGCAACACGTACCAAGAAGACCGAAGTCACATCACTACAAAACACCAGCCTCCACTGTGCACATATAAAAAAACACATGAAAGACACATGGATTTGAGATGGAATACAGTGATTGCAATCCTAATAGAATTCAGCTTTTTAACCCTGGACCGTACAGTGTCTGGCAACCTGATTTCTACGTTGTTTTTAAACACAGATGTTTAACCCACGAAAGGAAATAATAGTATTCATAACTTTATCTTCTAGAGAAATACAGTGAAAAATTGCTTTTTGTTTCCTTTTGAAGACATAAACCACCTAAAAAGATTAATAAGTAAAAATGCAAAAACTAGTAAACATATTAATTCCAACTTTTTTCTTTGCAAGATATTCAAGTTTCCAGGTTTGTTTGGTTATGAAAGTTTCTAAACACAAATTATATAAATTACCTATACTAAATATTTGGTTTGCAACAACAACAAAAAGAGTTTATTATTATGTTACTTTTAGTCTTCTAAAGTCATGCTAATGGAAACACTAATCAAAGATTGCAGTCATTTGCATTTACAGTCCTTGCCTGTTGTAGATAGATTTCATTGAGCAATAAGATTGATAACTTTGTCATGATGCAATGTATATAAGGCTGAATTCATTCAGTTGCTAATGAAATGTGCAACTTGCTCCAGCTGGGTGATAATTAGGGCTTATCACTGATAGGTCTAGGAAAAGGCTGGGAAATACTTCAGCTTGTTTTGCAGTTACTTTGAGCTCTCAGGAAAGGAGCGATTCTTCTATGAGATCAGCCTGAAGTTTTTCTGCCTATCCGAGAGCGGTAATGATAAGGTTTTTAACTTATTTGCAAATGATATGGTTATATGAAGTCTGACAAAAGACTACTTTAATAAATTTTTTCTGGTTTAGTGTCTTTTAAAGTGTGAGATGGGTAGTTTGCCTTCTCAGACAGCTCAAGTAAAATGTTAATTAAGCAACTGGCTTCAGAGAAACCTTGCAGAACTTGCTCTGTATGATGTCTGTTAACTTGAAATTCTGCTTTTGATAGTTGCCTGCCAGCACAACAAGCAACTCTGTGTAGGTTTCCCAAAGCAAAAAGAGGATCCTAAAGGTAGTCTCTGCTTATGGGGAAAACAAAGCGTTGCACTCCTCTCTCTTTAATGAAGATTGTAATGGCTCCGTATTAACTGTAAGAAGCAGGGCCTCTCAGGCGTCCGAGTTACTAATCAATCTTAATCAAAGTAATAAGAAGGTAGCTCCCACACTCATAAAAATAAGTACTTTAAAAGCAGCTAAAGGTAGAAGCTAGACTGTGACTTGTAAGATATCTTGTCCGTACATGCTATCAGCCGGAAAAAAGAAAAAAAAATCTACATGAGTAGCAAAATACCTGTCTCCTTAACACAGACTGTAGCTCAGCTGCAGAGCAGATTCCTGTTTAAAGCCCTTCTCTCTCTACAGGGAGCTGCTCCTCTTCCTCCTCCTTTCCTTGATAAGGGTGGTCTGGAGCTCCTCTTAAAGAACTGCTGCCTGTGAACTACATAACAGCTTTTAAAAATCAACAGTTTTCCCAAATTGCAAGACTTCAGATTTGGCAATTACAAGATGGAGAGGTTTTTCAAAATGGACTGGAGAAATGCAACCTCAAATATACCAAAGCACTGTAGAGAAAGCTTCCCCCCGAATTTTGATTTTATGTAGTTTTTATTATAAAATACATACAGTTTTGGTTCTTTTGTGGCTTAAAGGAATACTTCTCGAGGGGTTTGTATTTTCCATGAATGTTCTTTATTCAGGGCAAATTTAGCCATTTTTGTAAAAGAAAGCCATTTCCTTTTACATTTAATCAAAGGTTTGCATATCTAAATTTCCACTGCAAATGGATGGTGGATTCTATGGATTTGTTGTTGAAAAAAGCTTTTCACTCTTCTCCCAGTATATATTCATGATATTTACACTGTGTGTATGTATGGGGCATTCTGTTGTGTGGGTGTGGTGGGGTTTTGATTTGGGGTTTGGCTTTTTTTTTCTTTCCCTGAATACTTTATACGGTTGTAAGACTCTGGACCTGAAGAGCTTTTAACATCAAAGCGCTCGGAAGCACTTCAGCGCAGTCCAGACTTCCTAGCACTTCAGAATACTGCTTGCTTTAGAGATGCAAGTACGCAATGCATGTCTGGGAGAAGGAGTCATCCAGAAAATTGATAGGTCAGCAAACCTCAAGCTTACAGTTCAGGTCCTACTTCTTCCTCAATGACGTTATCTACTTATCACACTCCCTTTGAAATTACTTCATTCTGTATTTGACTTAGGGTAAGAAAAAACAGTCATGAGACCTGCTCCTAATGCAAGTCCTTTAAGTGTCAGGGTTCTGCCCCCATTAGCCAAGGACTAGATGCAGAAGTGTTTTTGTTCTTTTTTTTTTAATACATGCCACAATCCAACTGGCATTCATGTAAAACTAATCCACACAGAGGGCACCTCAGCCCTTTCTGAGATGCTGGCCCAGACTAATGCACGTAACTGGTACCGTATCCCATATGGATGCTGGGGCTGCACTTAGCGCTCCTCAGTGGGGCTGGACCGGGCTACAGAAATATGTGATGGCTGCTTTCCTTTGGGCCTGTACTGGAGGCTACCGTGCCTGTGTTCTGGGGGCTACTTGCCCACAGTGTAGAAGGACAAGGCTCAGTGCTCGCAAGTCCTTAGTGTCAGGGTTCTGCCCCCATTAGCCAAGGACTAGATGCAGAAGTGTTTTTGTTCTTTTTTTTTAATAGATGCCACAATCCAACTGGCATTCATGTAAAACTAATCCACACAGAGGGCACCTCAGCCCTTTCTGAGATGCTGGCCCAGACTAATGCACGTAACTGGTACCGTATCCCATATGGATGCTGGGGCTGCACTTAGCGCTCCTCAGTGGGGCTGGACCGGGCTACAGAAATATGTGATGGCTGCTTTCCTTTGGGCCTGTACTGGAGGCTACCGTGCCTGGCATTCATGTAAAACTAATCCACACAGAGGGCACCTCAGCCCTTTCTGAGATGCTGGCCCAGACTAATGCACGTAACTGGTACCGTATCCCATATGGATGCTGGGGCTGCACTTAGCGCTCCTCAGTGGGGCTGGACCGGGCTACAGAAATATGTGATGGCTGCTTTCCTTTGGGCCTGTACTGGAGGCTACCGTGCCTGTGTTCTGGGGGCTACTTGCCCACAGTGTAGAAGGACAAGGCTCAGTGCTCTCCAGAGCCTGAGAAGACTCAAAGCCATGCTTCTGACCTCTGGAGATGGGGCTGGCTGAGGACGCTGTCTGTCCTTCCTTCCTGCTGAGTATAAGCCACTGCACAGAAAGACATTCCAAATTTGTGAGGCCAGAAAGAGGAAGAAAGATGAGTCTTTAGCATAAGTTAGTGTATTTTTCTGTGGAAGAAGTTTGATGTTTGTGCTCCAGAAATCTTGTGGTTTATGCTCAAGTGCCCCTGGGGTTAAAACGCTGGAGAGTAGATGTGGGAATCCAGCCCGTAGCCCTGGGTCAAAAGCAGTAAATCTAAGCTGTCCTGCACACTGGTAGCTTCTCTGCTGTCTGAAGCTTCTCGGCTATTCGTAATATATAGAGCATCTCGCCTGCATACCCTTATCCTGTCTTCAAAGGAAAGCCTACTCAGCTCTAAGAGCAAAGAGCCCTTGCTGCAGATGGGGAAAAGAAAATTGCCTGCTGAGCGCAGCTGGGGCACGCACATGGTCGAGTGGCTCAAGGATAGCCACTGTGCTCACTAACCTGTTATCCAATAGGTCTGCATATGGTTTTATCTGGCAGAAAATGCACTGGCAACTTGAGGTAGCTCATCCATTGAGGAAAGAGGTGGAGATGGGGCTGCAGTCAAAAAGATTTTATTAAGCTCCTATTCTCTTTTCAGCAGATAGAGTTCCTGAGTCTTGACTAGAGTATGTCCCTGTCCCAGCACAGACGCATCTGCGCGCATGTACACAGACAGTGTGTCAAACCCTTGCTAGGGCTTGACTGGCAGCAAGAACAGATTTACTTTCTGGGAGACTTGGTTGAACACAAGCTCAAGGTCCTGTGCTTTCCCGCCTGGGGAAGGGAATATTGTCTGTCTAGTCATGCAATGAGCTACGCTGCCCTGCTAACACATGATAGTCAGGAGCACTGTTTAGTTAAGCCTCTTTTGAGGATGAGGGCAAAGGAGACGTGAAAGAGTAAAACTATAATAGTAATAATAATAAAAAAATGGCTTCTTCCTCGAGGCTTTTGTGAAAAATCACGGAAATGCTCCTATAGCCTGAGGAGGACTGTCAAGGAACTGACTGACATTCCTAAAGCTTTGCTCCTTACTATGGTTAAATTTAACTCTCTTGGAACAGAACAGAAGAATTTAGGTTGGACAAGACCTCTGGAGGCCATCTGGTCCAACCCTTGCGTATGGCACAACTAATCTCAAAGTAAGGTCAGGCTGCTCAGGCTTTTGTCCAGTTGAAGTACAGAGGCTCGACCTCCTCCCCGGGCAGCCAATTCCAGTGTTCCCCCATTCTTCCTGTGGGAAATTTAGGTCAGTGTGGTGCCATTGCCTTGGGGGTTTCCAGCCTCAGACCAGCAGGTTTACGTTTGGTTTAGGTTAACCAAATGTAGTGCTTCCCCTGTGAGATGCAAATACAATTATGGCTCACCTACTAGGCTACTGCAAATAGGTTTTGTTCGTTTAACTAGGATTTCTGATGAAGGTCACCTGGAAGATCACATAGAGCTATAATATGCAATTACCTGGGCTTGAGCAAGGTGCCCCTCAGCGGTGGATGCCAGTGCCAGTGCCGGCAACGTATTGTGTCATAACATGCTGCCCCACTACCCGCCCACCTTCTGATCCAGTGGCTACACCAGCACTATTTGGCTGCATGTTGCATGGTTCTCCGCAAAGCAATCTGGCTAGAGGCTGCGGTATCAAAGGAAGGAAATGAGATGTGGCTTTATTGAAACATACCTCAATTTTTTTCCTTCTCCCTCCACTTTTTACAAATAAGAAACAATTAGGACAGTTGGAGTGATTAAAATTAGTTACATTCTAGTTAATGGAATTAGGAATTGGTTATTGCCAGCAGTCCTATTTCTATAGGGGCGAAGAGTACTAAGGAAGAAAATGTTCTGCTACAAATGTTCCCTGGTGATTTAGTCTGGTGAAACAAGCAGGCAGAGCCCCCAACACCCTGTGCTGAGTGAGGACAGTACCAGACAAGAGGGAGCATCCTGCGCCCCAGCTTTGATAGGCCTTTGATCACAGCAGCCAGCAGGAAAAACATGAAGAGCAAGCTAAAAGGTGCTCAAACACCTCTTGTGGCTTTGCCACAAGGGGAGATACAGTCTCATCTATTTACGTATTGTTACGAATTAAGCTAAAGATTTCTTGCCCAGCTTGTGTCCTGAGCTTTACTTTTGAAGGCATATAGTGTTCACTTCAGATCTTACTTGGCTGGCTGCAAATGAAAACAGATACTTCAGGCAGACCTAGACATGCAAGTTAACTGTGCTGTCTTCTGCAAAGAGGATTATTATGAACTTTCTGTAACCCGTTTTCCTAGATATCTTCTGTGGGTTTTTACACAAGAGGACATGAATATTTTAGGTGTAATCATCGTACCTGAGGATTAGGTAATCTTTGATATCTATCGATACCTTCCCCCATCGCCAGGTGCAGGTTACGGATTTTACATTAATCTATTCAGTGAAGACTCTTGCAGAAGTGCAGCAAGGCAAATAACCTGCTTTATACCTGCCTGTGAGCTCTAAGAAAGGGTCGCTACAGCTCACCTCCCTTCTGTTTGTTGTACAGCACTTCTCTTTCTGACAGTGATTCAGCTCCTGATGGAAGAGCAAAACGTTATCACAGAGGTGCCGGCAGCCCTAAAGCGCCTGGCCAAATACATAGTGCGTGGTTTCTATGGAGTAGAGTACTCCCTGGCCCTCGATATACTGATCCGCTACCCCTGCGTGAAAGAGGACGACTTGTTACAGTTGCTCAAGTACGAACGTAAACAACTCCGTACTGTCCTCAACACGCTCAAGGCAGACAAGTTTGTGAAGCTGCGTATGCGAGTTGAAACAGGGCCTAACGGGAAGAGCACAAGGCACAATTACTATTACATCAATTACAAGGTGCTGGTGGATGTGATAAAATACAAACTGGATCACGTACGCCGGAAAATAGAAGCGGATGAGCGGGATTCAACTACCAGGTCCTCTTTTAAATGCCCGTCTTGCTCCAGCACTTACACAGACCTGGAAGTCAATCAGCTCTTTGATGTATTTACAGGTATGTTGCTTATATTGCTTATTTGCTCTTACCTTAAGGAATAACTCTTGGCACAGGAGCCAATTTTGTGCTAACTCTGCCATAAAAGCACGTTTGTTAGGACGTACTTGTTTGCTGGTGGACAAGGGCCTGGGACAGGAGAAGCTGGGAGGTGAGGGTAAGAGAAAAAGCTGTCTCTGTATAACAGGCCGAGCAAGAGGAAGAATAATCTTGAATATAAGAGCTGGGGTTGGGAATCAGATTCAGGCCTCAGTTTTGCTAGGAAGATGACGTTTAACCTGGTTCAAGATTGCTCATCCAAGTCTTGTGACTCCCGCTTCCTCATATGGAAATGAGAATACAGTACTCCTTTTACTCCATTTTGAATTTGTTAGTTAATCCATTTGTGTGTTCAATTCTTCTGATGGAAGAGTTGGACAAGCTGGATAAAGCTGTTTGCAGCCACCTACTGTAGTAAGCGTATTGCAGCTCGGCAGCAGAGGAGAGGCGTTCTGTCACTCCTGTGCTGGAAACAGGGAAGTTCAAGCTCCTCCCCAGGGCAACGCGACACATCCGTAGCAGAAGTGGCATCGGAGCTTGCAGGTTTCTGTTCTCTAAAATCAAATAACTAAATAGAGAGTACTCTTTCAAAATGAGTTAAAATGGCGTCATATTGCAATACATTACTTGAAGCGCAGCTACTGTGTTAACGTCTGGGTCATGGCATCTGCAAAGGATGCCAGAGCCAGGGAGAATGAACTTCACTCTGTGCGACTAACTTGAAATGTCAAAGGTGAAGTTAGTGTACTGCCAGTTAGCAAAAATCACCCCTTTGTTATAAATGGAGGGACTTTGTCAAGTTACTGAAATGCAAACATTGAGGCTGGTGATACATTTTGATAGAATATGCTTTAATATTTTTTTTAAGACATAAATATAGGTTTTTAGCATATGCTTTGACTCTAAATGAGCCTCTTTTGAACTTTAGAACTCTGAACAACTAAAACCAGATGCTATTTATGCTTGCAAATGTTTTTTCCTTACACTATGAACTAAGAAAAAGATGAGATCAGAGAAGGAAAAAAACCAAACCTTAACCATCTGATGACACTGTGTGTAGCCAACTTAACTTTTTCCCCCAATATAGACATTTCTCTCTTGCATAGCAAGTGTGTGAGTATCAGTCCTTCTCCAAAAAAAAAAAAAAGAAAAAAAAATTGGCTTACATCTATAACTTGAGTTCCCCTAGTTAATGTGAACAAATGGATAAAGTCTAGTGAAGTCAGAACACTTTGGTAATTGTCCAGGCTGTGGATTTCTTAACAAGGTACTGCTGATCTTTAGCATCCTATGAACATGAGACTTTCCAATTTGGATCACGTTGCAGAGACTTTCCGCTGCACTTACTGCAACACTGAAGTAGAGGAAGATGCCTCAGCACTTCCTAAGCGTGACGCTCGAACCTTGCTAGCAAAATTCAATGAGCAGATTGAACCTATCTTTGTGCTACTGCGTGAGACTGAAGATATTGTTCTGCCATATGACTTGCTGGAGCCTCAGCCAACAGAAATACCAGAATTATCAGAAAGGTATAAACACACCCTGGAACTTCTGATCAATGCAAAAGCCCCCAACAACTTCCCAGTTACAAAATCTTTGACATACTGAACTTGCAGCCTACCTTCTACTCCATTCTGCTTTGTTCAGTACCGTCAGCTGCTTAATGACGAAGCCTGTAATATCTAAGACATTCTAAATTAGTTATGCATTTATAGTTTCATTTTTGCTATCTTTTTTAAGAATTAATTTTCCAGACTTCTCCTTCAGCTAATGTTCATAGCCCTTTCTGTGAGACAGTAACGTTTCTCTACCAGTGTGCTTCATCCAGAGATGCACTACTGAAGAGACCATGCAAAAATCAGTGGTTCAGAATCACTTGCCTCTGAGATGAGGTAATGGGGAATGCAAATTGTTTTAATGTAGAGCACTTGTTAAAGCTAGTCTGCTGACAAAACATGTTTTTTTTTTTTTCTTTTTTTTGAATGGGAACTGGGGGGTTCTTGCCTGAATTTAACCTGTCCAAAATGGGTGATGTTTCATTCAGCTTTGATCAGAAGGCAGGTTCAAGTGTGCTGGAATCCTGCAGCCGACCTGAAAAATGGTCCAACAGAAGTTCCTCTTTTGGCAATATGTACACCCAAAACTTAGTTATTGATGTCCAAGACTCTGAACCCAAGAAGAAAACAAGAGAAAAAGCAACTAAAGAGCAACCTATTTGGATGTCTCAGAGCACCGTGGAAGGAGCGACAACAGCCACCACCAATAGTGTTGGTAAGTTTTAAGCATTGGCAAATACTGAAATTCAGCAGCCTTACTGCATTGAAATATAGCTTTCCTATTGAAATGTAGGGAGCTTGGTTTAGAATATAGAGTAATGCTTCAATTCTGCACCAGTGGCTATCAGATCTTAGTTTCTAAAAACTACTCTTTAGACTGACTTAGGTAGTGTTCCTAAAGCCAGAGGTCAGGTACCAGGTCCTGAAATTTTTGGCTCTAACCATGCAGTAGCATTAATGGCAATCTTTAAAGTGGACAGCTCTTGCAAATGCCTGCACTTTCAAAAGAATTCTGAAGTGTGGGTAAAAAAGAACCAGAGTAGGAAAAATCATTTATGTAGGATGCTTGTGGTAATTGTAAATTATTGATAGCTCTAACACTTAGTATTGTGTATTAGGAGTAAATGCTTCTGAAGAAACTAAAGAAAGTGTTAAAGAAACCGTCACCGATAATGAAATCATCAAGACTCTTCTGATCCATGAAGCCAAGTCATCATCTAGCACAGACCAGGCTCCTGCTGTCAAAAGCAAATTACCTGAATTGGGCAGTGATACTAGTGAGTCTGAAGAAGATGCCAAGCACTCAAGAAGAGCAGGAATGAAAGTAGCAGGCAGCAACTTTGAACAAGAGGAGGAGCAGGAAACACAAGGTCCTATTTTAATGGTAAATGGTCAGCCTCGTTCATATGGTGAAGTTAGTGAAAATCCAGAGCTTGTGTCTCTCATGACAACTGAAGAGAGAGAAGCTTATATAAAAGTAGGACAAGAAATGTTTCAGTCTGTCTTTGAATAAATACTACTGTATGAATATGCAAACTTGTATAGAAAGGGTGAAGGCTTCTTTTGAAATAAGACAGTTTATTAGTTTAACTTCCATTCTTCAAAGTTTACCACTGAAGGGTTAAGTTTTCTTTGAACTCCTTGCTGTTATGCAAGATAGTAATCCTGTAGTAGGTAACTCCAGTTCAAAATACTAGCATTGCAGCAAAAGTTACTATGGGTTTTCTATTATCTTAATGCTTAGACTTTGTGAATGCTGTAATTAGTTTCGGAGCATGAATCATTTTAAGTTACAATGGGATATAATGATCAGAGTAAAATAAAGTTTCAAAAGCAATGTTGCAATCTATTGTAAGAAATCAACTATTCCACCTTCCTCCCAGAAGTAGCAGATATTTCCAGTAGTGAAAGTGAGTCAAACTCCAACGTGATTTAGTTTCACTCTGTACCACTGTGTTCTATTTTTTGTTAGGTCGCTACACAACAGTAACAGACAGGTCTTATACAGCAACCTCCCTTTAAGGGAAGAGCTGTTACTAAATTGTGTTAGTTATAGAAGAGAACCAGCTATGGCCTCTTAACTTTCATCTTAAAAATAATTACCTGAATTCTTTGTACTCACTGCTCTATAGAACTGTCTCTGAAGTGATGAACTGTGCAATGGATAGCGGACAGTAAAATATAACATTCATTTTGGTCCAGATTGGTAAGGAAGCAAGCAATGTATCAAGCAGAAGACACTGCTATCTCATTCACACACTCTCCTGTAATCGTTTTAAGCCAGATCTTGTCTACTACCATTGAAAGACACATTCTACTTGAACTGAACTATATGAGTAGAAGGACTGGCTTCAGAATACAAGATACAGCTTAGCTTCTTCAGCAATTCTACTACTGGAGCAATAGAAGATGAAAGTAGACTACAAGGGCACAAACTGAAACACAGGAGGTTCCCTCTGAATGTTAGGAAATGCTTTTTTACTGCAAGGGTGATTGAGCTCTGGCACAGGCTGCCCAGAGAGGGTGTAGAGGCTCCCACGTTGGAAATTATCAAAAGCCTCCTAGGCAGCCAGCTCTGTGTGGTCCTGCTTGAGCAGGGGGTTGACCTCCAGCAATCCCTTCCAACCTCAACCCTTCTGTGATTCTCTGAATTAAGGGTAGAGAGAAAGTATAACCAAAAGTAGTACCATTTCAATGCATTGTTCATACACACGATTCCAGGGAAAGAATTCAGGAATGGTGTGTGCTCATGTTCTTTCTTGAGCTTAGAGTTTAATGATTTACCATATAAACTAGACTTGTCTCAAATATGCACAAATCATCTTGTTCCACTTTATGAAAATGCCCTCTTTAAGGTCTACTGAATGATTCTTGTGTCAAGTTAGTGATTAAAAAGCTTTCATTTGTTTCATTTCCACAGGTTCACCTTTGTCACAAATGTATTTCCTCTGTCCTCAAAATTGTAAAGTTTTTTTCTGCATGCAGTATTACCATGAGTTTAAAGCCTGCACAGTAACTAAACTGTCTTCAAACCTTTTAATGTACTTTTGCTTTTACAATCATACCTCTCATCTCCAATCTGCCATTTCAAAATTCACTCATAAAACCTGGAGAGACTCAAAACAAACCAAAAGAAAAAAAAAAGAAATCACAGTAGAATCACACTCTCATTTTATTCAAACTTCAGGCATATTTAGGCTTCACTGTCACTAGACTGTCTCCTACCGCATATAGCCATATTATTATACTAACCCCAAATGGAAGACAACCCATCTAATCTGCTTTTCTACAGTCCTAATTCCACCTTTGCCATGAGACTTCATTAGGTGCTGACTTTAACGGTTTGGGTTTTTTTAAACATTAACTTTAATTTCCTAAATTTCTTCTTTTCTACAGGAAAACTCTTCACGAAGTCAAATACTTTAGGAACAGATTCTACAGGCTTTCAATTGCAGCAATATTAAGTGTTACATGTGAAAGGATACTAAAATTTTCAGACAGGTTTATCAGTTTGCACATTGAAAGTGCAAAACAGAAAATGCAGAAAAATACAGATTGGTTCTGTAGTTAACTGCTGAACCAGAGTATTTACTTCACCTCAGATAAATGTGCTGATAGAAATTAATTCCACAGGCCATGAACATGAATTTTTTTTTTTTTTTTTTTTTACAGACCAGCTATACATAGGCCATAAAGGCAACACATAGGTATGTACTGTGTCCACACCTCATATTTATAGAAGATGGAGAAACTTCGTGGGACAAGAGTCTCTTGTCCCAGGTAAGTTAGCAGTGTTTCTCTGAAGAGGAGTAACAAACTGCTACAAGCACGCCAACACTAAGGTCAGTTTACTTCCAACAACAAACTCTGCATACCATTTTGTAAGCCAGAGGAAAATTTTTCAAAAGACAAATTTACAGACAGATCCAAACTTTATTTAAAACTACAATTTTAAAATTACTAAACAAGTCACAATAAAAAATAAAAAAGATTAAGACAGAAAAAGAACAGTGCAGCAAAACTGAATAGAAGAGGATTCAGTTCCAGCTGTTCAAACTGCCACAGGCAGAAGTTAGCATACCTATCCTAAGAGGCAGTGTGCCAAAAATTTTACATTTTTATACACTTCCAGAATTCTGGGAAATTAGCGCTGATCTTCCATATGCGTTTGTACACATGGAGTTTATAAATGCAGGTATCTTCAGGTTATTCTCACGCACTTTGAGCTCCAAAAGTTTCTGTAAAGTAAGAATATATTCATTACTGTCTAACAGCTACAAGGCATCAAACACAGCTCTTGACTACATTTCCACTCCTTGTAAGTATCCATTAAAGCACCTTGATGAAATATTTCATCCTCACCTTTTTTTCGCAAACATTTTGAGCCATGGCTTACTTGACCAGCTACAGCCATTCCCCATACACAGATGAAGAATGGCTTAGTTGCTAGCTACCAATTTTGTGTCACATGGCATGGCATTCTTAGCCACTGTTCCCACACCAAGCACATGCATCAGTATTCACCAAACTGACACGACAGAGTTCTGCTAGCATAGCTATGACAAGCAGATGGTGAGGGGCAGTGAATGAAATGGAAGGAAAGATGCACCTTCCTTCACGCTCTATTCTGGAAAGTCCTATGCTGTCACTACAGCTGCATTAAAAAAAAAAAAAGCATTTTCATCAGCTTATATTGTTTGAGGAACTGGAACTAGCTACACTAGGAGAAAACTACTACCATCAGAAAAACCAGTTCATGCATTTATATATGCCATTAACTACACCTTCCACTGGAGAACTACAAGCCTAACAATAGAACAGAAGCCTCTAACACCATAACTTGTGTCACAATATCAACATTATATTAAAAAAAGAAAAGTTTCTTTGACCTGCATTACCGTTAAGTTTTTGTAGCTGCATAAATACTGTTTCATGAAAGTGACAAATCTTTATCGCAGTCACTATCACTGGAAGTTTCTTCTACCTCATGGTATGCTTCACATGAAAAATAATTTTCTTTTCCCTGAAGAGATATTTTACTATTCTGAAGAGTTTCTTAAACTTTTCTATTTAGAAAAACACTGAGCAGTCTGTCAGCAAATTGTATTGAGCATTATTAAATCAGATAACAGCAATTAGAATTTACAATATTATTAAACCCAAGCTTGTGTAACAAGAAACAAAAATACTATTCTATCCCATTTTAATAAGTTTCAAACCCATTAAGTTATAACATGCATTTTACATATGTTAATTTTTATGACTTTATTAGCCACGGAATCTAACAGAAGTATATAGGAGGGACATGGAAGGCAGAATCCCTTCATTTCAATACATCGTTTTCAAATGCAACAAAGGATATTCTTTCAGCACCATGATAACTGCTTACTTTAAGCAGTGATAACAAGCTATTTAAATTCTAGGCCATTCCAGAGTGTTTTCCCAATAGGTGTAGAGGATTTAGAAAATAATCTTTACCAGGTTCTTTCAAAGTTTGGGCATCTCCTACTAATTCTTGATCTTTAGCTCCACCTCCATCCAGTAATTCATCAGACAAACTGTTGGTTTGGGCCTCTGTTGCCATTTTCTTCATTAAATCTGCCTTTGTAACAGATAAAGCAAAACTCAAAAGTTCTGGATAATTCTTATTGCTGTCTAATTAAGACATTTAGGGTGTGTGCTTCTAAACACCCCACAAACAATAGCAAAATACCTCTGAATATACTGCAAGTTTAAGGGGCAAGTCTTCAACTTTCACGAAGTCATCTTCATCAGATTTTTGACTTACATTTCCAGAACCACCTTCCTGTTAAATAAAAACAGTGGCATTTAAGAGAACAGTGCTACTTTGTTTTATTTTCACTCCAAAACTAGATTTTTTTACTATTATAATAAAGTACATAAAAAACCAATGCCCATATCAAGTTTGCAGATGAAAACTGAACAGGACTGGAAACTAGAAATAACACTGAAATAGAAAAAAGCTTCTCATTTCTCTTGGATGTATCTTAACTGAAATATACGCACGTATTCATTCACTAACACAGGTGACTCCGTATCAGGGCTGCCAGCCATGGAGCTTTCAGAACTTGCAGCAGATTTGTTTCCTACACACGCTGTATCTAGTGTTTGAGTTTCATTTACTGGTAAAGAAGAGCTTGATTCTTCTGTTTTCATACTGGCTGTTATAAAGGATTCTGGGGTATTGACTGTTAAAGGTGGCGTATTCTCCATGACATTGAGGTAACGAGGCAAAATTGTAGCCGCATCTTGTTCACCTAAAACCACAAAACTACATTTTAACTCGGTAGAGACAGTAAAAGATTCTGAGTGTAAAAAATCCCAGATTATTATTTTTTTACAAATTATGGTCCAAAGCTACAAATGAGCAATGAAAGTAAATTATAGTCTCTCAGATCAACACAAAGCTGATTGAAATAAAACATCAGTTATTTGTACTCTTATACACGTGAGTATCAGCAATTATCACAAGACAGTATGTGACAAAGATTT